TAATTAGCAGAACGACTATCAACCCAAGCAGTAGCAGCAGCAGCAGCAGCAGCCGCAGAAAGAGACCCATCATTTGCCCCATGCGTTGCCATAGAGACAGGATCCAGTGAAGCAGATGGTTGTATGCTACCACACACAACCTGAATCCGTCAAACGACGATTTACTCGCATCAATAACAACAAAAGCATCTCCGAAGTCAATAATAATGACATTAATAATATAAAAGTTTAAGTCGTGCCCATAAGAAGAGTTTCAGTTGGAACGTTGCCGCAAACACGAAAGGCTAGATTGGATGAATAAGATATTCCAAAGAACGACAAAGTCTGGCCTGACCACCGTAATGTTTAAGTCAACAAAGAAAGGAGATATAGAGTTATTGATTTTGATTGACTTTTTTTTACAGCTTATCAACCTTTTGAAGGTTATTTAAAGCCGGGACATATTTTTGATTGTAAGAATGTTTTGGAGATAATAATAATTTTCTCATACAAGTCGTACTGTTTAACGCATACCTGCGAGAAAAATCGGTGAATTCTTACCTTTCCCAAGGATATTTGCACGTAAGTTAACACAACTAGAATTCGAAATCGACTCTCCGTATAGATTTATTATTATTATTATTATTATTATTATTATTATTATTATTCCAGATGCGGTTACGGAGATAGGACCTGTAATAATTTTATGGGACTACACAATACACACAAACAAAACTAACCGCCCCGACATTGTTATTAAAGACCGCAAACAAAAGAATTGCCTCCTTATTGATATGATAGTCCCTGCAGACTGCAATGTATCTTTGAAAATATTCAAAAAGCTATCAAAATACAAGGACCTTGAAACAGAAATCTCAAAAATGTGGTACATGAGAACATCAACAATCCCTTTTGTAGTTAGAGCCCTTGGATTGGTTGGAAAAGATTCCAGTAGACTCATTGAAGGGATTCCTGACAGCCAATGCCTTAAAGAAATACAAAAAAGAATTCTCCTCACGAGTACAGCCCACACCTTACAAAGGGCTTTATCTATGTAAAATATTTTTTTCTTTTCAATTGCTCAATAGAAAATGTCATGACTCCATTTCTGACCTTAGGTCTCTGGTTGGGACCCGGAAAGAAATGAGTACATGCTAGAAATCAAAGGAAATAATGATAATAATAATATTATTATATTTATCTCTGATTTCCTAATATAGATTACTGCATGAAATTTCTTTGAATTGAGATGACGTTATTTGTTGCCAAATGCAGCAAACTATTTGATTAGAGACGACACCGAGATATAAAACTGATTTAACTCTTAAGAAGACAGAATATATGACCGTCAGCAAAAGGTCCAAGATGCATACTAAAAATTAGAGAGGTCAGAATCTATCAAATACAGAAATTCAACTATTTGGGTATGAGGTTTTAACAGACGACTGAAAATGCAATTACGAAGCCACATTGGAACAGCGAAAGATGCCTTGCAAAAGCTGAGAAAAGTATTAAGTCACACGAAAATTTTGTTGGAAACAAAGAAGAGTGTGTTAAAGAGCTGTGTAATATCAATCCTCCTATAATATAGGACCTATATTGTAGCGAATACTGAACAATTTTCTCTTAAACGAAAATTCTAAACAACAGAAATGCGGTTCTACAGAAGGATACTGAGAATAACATGTGAGCAACTAGAAGGTATTAAGGAAATTTGAACCCGAGTGTAGGGATTTAACTGCCAGATTCGGGAACTGAATTTACGATCACTAAAGTGAAAGCAAAAATGAATTAACTGTAACCACTTCGACATGATCCCGAAGGATATCAGAAGTGCATTTTGGGAGTCTTTCGACTCGACACTGGATTCCTAACACTTCTGATAAAAAACCTTTGAATAATTGTGTCAATACAGAGCAACAAAGAATCCGATTAATATGAAAAGCAAAGTGCAATGAAACATATATATATATATATATATATATATATATATATATATATATATATATATATATATATATATATATCCACTTGTCAAAAAACAAAGGCGTAAGTTGAAAGAACATCTTGATGCATAAAAACATATATAGTACATCAATTCATTTTTATGGAGCTGTAAATGTAGACGTTCATAATGGCTTCATAAAATATTTTGACTTTTCTTCTACATATAACAGTTGCTTTTACACGTTTTGCACACACACACACACACACACACACACACACATACACACATATATATTTGAGACATGTCTCATTGAATAATTTAGACAAGTTTTGTTTATTTTCAATTGGATCCTATCGTATTCACAGACAAGCTTTTTGACAAGCGTGTTGATATAGTGATTTTTATTCTGAGTACTTTCGACATAGCACAATGTCATCATCAGGGTGTTGTTTATTTCGAGACAAATATTGTAGTATTTTCAAAGACAAAATTACTGTGTTCATCTGAAAGTTAATTTTTTTATTTGTGAATTGAAGAATGCTGAGTGTTCTAAATTATATATATATATATATATATATATATATATATGTATGTATATATATCTTAAACAATAAAACATATTTACAAATTAGAATTTTCAGACACACTGGGTTGTATATTAATATTTTTTGTTCTATTATTTCAATTTCCTCGACTAGTTTCGACCAACAATGGCCCTCATCAGAAGAACAAAATCCCTGCTTGTTAGTAGCATTGAACTACAGAAGTGAATGACAGTTTCTGAAGAAAGTGAGCTTTATCTGTAGTTTTCATTTGTTTTTGTTTTTTTTGTTTTTTTTTTTTTTTATCGCTAATTTTTGGTCAGTACTTGCTGGGAATAAGATGTGTGTGTTAAGCGTAAGTTATCTTTTAGTTTTTTGGGAGTGTGTGTGATGTGTGTATGTGTATATATTCGTATGAATGTATGTTTAAATGCACCTATTGTATATTTGGGCAGCAATCTTGTCTTTCTACATGTTTCATTGATTGTGACGAACAAAGAAAATTTTATAAGTTTTTTTTTTTAATTCAGTTTTGCGTGGTTCCCTTACAGTTTTTATTTTATGTGGATTAAGGATGTGTAGAAACTGTCCGTGGTGATCATTGTCCTATCTACTTTCGATTAATTCAAAAACCATTTTCAAGAGGTTCGTATATTTTTCTGTTTATATTCTAAGCTATATTTTATAGAAATAGTGGTAATAACATGTTCTGGCGCCTACCAGAAACTCATAATACACTGCAACTAGTTTCAAAGCAACTAACGTTGTGTGTAGCGTTATACTTTTTCTTAAAATATGCTTCCATTATCTTTAAACGCCTTTTACAATTAGATTATTTAACATGACAGTATTATCTACAAGGATATTTCTTATGGGGCTGGAGAGTTGAGTATGAGCGTTTAAGTTCCTGCTAATCGAACAAACATAAAGTTATATATATATATATATATATATATATATATATATATAACACACACACACACACACACACACATATATATATATATATATATATATATATTAGTTTAATCATTTCTCTGTGGTTGACTGGGTCAAGAAGTGACTGGTAAACTTTAATGCTTCAAAAACAAAACTGCTCTCTTTTACCCACCACAGAGAACCCTCCTATCTGATGCCCAACTCCACGAGACCGCTTCTCTGTGCCTGCTTGGTCCGCTGACCTGAGATGAAACAAATACACGGAATCATCTACCGCAAGGAAAGTTGGTTCTCTGTGGCGCGCCAGAAAGCTTTATTCGCACGAGTCCATCGTTCAAATCTATAAATAAACCATTCGTCCTTGCATAGAATACTGCTGCCTTATATGGTCTGGAGCCCCCGCTGTGCGTCTCAAGGCCCTCGATAAAATCCAGAGACGGATATGCAATGTTATTGGTTCTGATTTGGCATCTCGTCTTCAGTCACTTTCTCGCAGACGTGCCGTCGCTTTCCTTTGTCTTTTCTACAAATATTTTTACGGTAAATGCTCCGACGAGCTACTTTCTGTTGTTCCCAAACTTCATGAATTTAAACGTGCTACTAGATTTCATCTCAGTCCCACCCTTTCATTGCCGAAACTGTTATTGTAGCCGTCTCTTCTACTCCAATTGCTTAATGTATATCACTTCCCATTGCAGAACTCCCTTCCTCTTACTTTGCTTCTCTGATAGCTATTATCTTCAATTATTCAAATGCAATGTCAATCGACATCTTCAAGTGCCTTGATCTAATTCCCTGTCTTTCTCTTCATCCTTTCCTCTATCACGCCTCTTTACTCTTGCTCCCGCTCTCTGTAACCCCTTGCGTGCTAGTAGCACTCTCGCCTTGCTTGGGGTGAAATGCTTAAAATAAAATATTAAAAAATTATGACTTTATATATTTATCGGCCACGCAATCTGATCTTCCCTTCTTAGTAATTAGATATTTCTTTGTTATCGCACCACGACGTACGTTCGCTAATTGGCGTTGGGTAATATCACCAGTTTCCATAACAACTGAATATCTCATTAATAAGAAAAGAATATCTGGCTGCGTGATCGATAAATATGTCCGATTGTGTTTTACATTAAAGAAAAGGATGCATACACACACACACACACACACACACACACACACACACACACAGAATACTTCCATCCCTGATTGAAAATTATAATTAAAAATTGTTTTTTAGCACTGTCATATTATTATTATTCTGTAATATCAACAACAGTTAAGCAACGTCGAGCCTGGTCACTACCTACATGACTGATTGGTGACCGCTTGGGTATACCAAGTGCTGTAAGGTTCGATGTGCTTGTGGTGTAATCTATAATGGCCATGAATTGTTAATCGGCGAGCCGAGTTCCAATTCCCATTGAGTTCGTTATATTCTCTTACGCGTAAATACCCCCCGAAAAGGCATGAATCCACGTCTTCTCCCTCCAGTTATGGTTTAATTAGTATCACTAAATCATTATCTAGACAAAAATTCTTACAATCTAAAAAAATATTTTCTGGATTTAATTAACCTTCAAAGGGTTGATAAACCG